ACCTGTGGCGCCATAGCTCCAGCTCCATCTTCGAGGTACCTGCATCAAGGCGCCAACTTCACAGGTTAGTACCGGACAGAGAGAGAGAGAGAGAGTTCTTCTTCTTCCTCTTCTAAGTCCACCATCTCTTCTTCCCCTCTCACCACCTGACTTCTCAGTATCAGCGGACTACTACAGAGAAAGAGAGTTGTGACTTGAGACTTGACGACATTGGGATTCAGACATTTTGACGAGGGACTATTTGGGCCTGTGCTGAAGACTTGGTGTTGACGACATTCCCATCTTCACCTCTTCTTCGTCTAACCCCGCTCTTCTTCGTCTGTGATGGTTGGGGCTGGTGCATTCTTCCTGTGTGAGCGGCAGACCTCTTCACACCATGGAATGATGATGAGGATGTATGTTCAGGGCTGCATTGCAATATTGATTGTTCGGATCATTGGTATCTAAGTTTTCCGCTACGCTATCTTGTACTTTGTATTGAGAGGTCGGTTCCTGTTCTGGTCTGCACCGTTATCAGGGATTTTCTTCCATGTGGCTGTTGCGTGAGCGCTGAAAGATCCACCGCCAGTTTCCTCGCAGCTTCCTCACCGAACCTGTCTGCAGCCAGCTGCCGAGGCTGGCCCGTTTGGTTGCAAAGGGCAGTTCCCAGGAAACTTCCGTCACATTGGCCTATGAAAATATTTAGGGGAGTGCACATGCTGAGCGCCTGGGTACTTGGAAGACATTTCCCAGCCAGCATGGCTCTTCCATAGAAGACCTGGCTACCGCGGCTGGTGTATCATCATGCTTGTCGGTGATAAACAACCGGATTGAGCCCCCAGAGTAAATGGGGCATTCTTTTTTGGAAAGAAAAAGAAAATGTCAGGGGGGACTGGTGGTTGTGCGGCCTCTTACGTGTTCAAAAATCTCTGTCTGCAAACACCACCGCTTGGATGGGGCATTTGAGAGAAGTGCTGCATGCCAGCCCCCAATTTTTTAGACTTTTGTGGTTGTGCAAGGAACAGCAATAAACTAGATTGTGACATCTCACAGAAGGCCAGGGATACTTGAGCCGAAATTGAAAGCAGAAATCAAAGCGAGATGCACACTCAATAGAAACGAGCAAAATACCGAAGTCTCTTGATAAGAAAAGCCCTTCCAACGCCTCCAACCATCAATGCAACAACAATGTAGCTCTCCTACAGGTGTCCTGTACGCCGACTCGACTCTCTCTCGCTCCTATTTGACTAGCCTATCTGTGCCATCAACCATGTGTCATATGTCCAATGCCGTTTGAGGACTCTGATCGAACAGCCTGCCTTCATCAACACCAGGTATGTACCTCATTCACATCACCTCCCTTCCTGTTCTATCCCCTTGTTCCACCAAGGAACTCCACAACTTCCACCTTCCAGTTATGGAGCACTCAGCCTGGCTATGGCAGATGTTCTCCTCCTTCCTCGCTGCCACCACAGCAGCTTGCCCACGAGCAACGAGCTCAGCAACTGCTCCAGCAGTGCTGCCGCGTTGGCACAATATCCCCGCATGTGAGCCTCATCTCTTTTGTGCTGAATGGTGAGGCTGGAGAGGCCGTGCCCTGGCTGTCCGGTTCCAGTCTCCTGCGCCCAGGCCCTTCAAGAACTGCCAGTGCGCCTGCAGCATCTGCAACCAACTCGTGGTCTGGGCCCACCGGTTGGTTGCAGATGCTGCAGGCGCACTGGCGACTACCCTGGGACCCCTTCTGCTCACATTGACCTTTTCTTAGGGCCAGCTGCAGTTTGGCCAGGCTAGCCTTCACTGAGGGCAGACAGGGCCTTTTCTGCCTTAGCGATGTCCTGAATCCTTGCAGTTGCGTTCTTTTTTTCTTTTTTTCGGTCTACTTTGTTTGGGACCTTGGCGGCCATGCCAGCATGCCGGCCTGCACGTGCAAAAGAGAGAGAGAGAGAGAGAGAGAGAGAGAGAGAGAGAGAGAGAGAGAGAGAGAGAGAGAGAACAGGGTGGAGCACAGCTTCAAAACAACTTGCAGGCACATGCCATGTGCCTGCCAGCAAT